GGGACCTTTATGGGGGGAGGGGATGTACCCGCACCAGGTGGAGATCCAAGTCTCTGGGGAGGATCTGGGGGCGACCACAGGCAAAGGGCAGCTGGGACTGTAAGGGAGTCCAGGCGTGTCCGAGTGACTCCTGTGAGGGCAGCCACGGGCAGGGCTGCGTGGCAAGCCCGTGGGGCCTGAGCACAGACAGGGTAGACGGAGCCGGGGGCACAGGGGCCGAGTTTGGGGGTGAGCTGCCGCACCTGCCTTAGGGGCAGGGGGCCGAGCTCGCAGCCGGCCGTGGCTGCGCACTGCGGGAAAGGAGGGGACACCGCGGGCGAGAAGAGCTGAGCTCTGGGGCTGTGGGAAGAAATGAGGGGCGAATGCATACAATGGCGGGATGGTAGCGTTGCTGTTGCGGCCAAGCTAGAGGTGAGGATCAGCCCTGTGCTGCGTCCCCCCCCCAACTTGGGGGACACGGGCTTCCAGCGCCAAGCACCCCGGGACCCCTACCGCCTGCACCCGCCTCGGCCTGGGGGAGCTGGCCAACCAGCCAGGGAGGGGGCGTACCGAGCTTACCACCGAGGACGGCTCCAGCGCAGCCCGCGGGTTTCCTACACGGCTCTGTCACTCCCAGGCCTAGCCAACACCCCACCACACGCACACACCCACCCAACATGTCCCCAGTTCGCTAAGGGGCGGCTCCTTGGAGCGCGGACAAAGGCCCCTGGAGTGTGGCGGGCAGCCGCGTCCCCGCCTGGGGCCCCGGGCCACGCGCCACATTGGCTGCCCAACTGCGCCAGCATGGGGTGGGGGGCACCTGAGCAGAGCCCCGGAGGAACTGGGAAATCCTCGCAAAGACAAGAGAAGTGGGGGAGGGACTTGGCACAAAAGCTTTAGAACTTCAGCCGGGGAACCTTGATTCAGAAGTTTCCCCACGGGCGGGGGCTCTCTGGAGGATTTCAGACTTTGAGTTAAAACTGCATGCAAATAGGATGTAAATAGAATGCAAATGGTCGGTTGGGAGCCCTTCACTGGGCCAGTTTTGTACCTAGACTGCGGAGTGAACAGTTTCCTATCTGTTCCCTGCCCTGTGTGAAAAGGGGTCAGCTGAGTTGGGGAGGGAAAAGATGGAAGTGGGAAGGAGTCGCCATTTGGCGCCCAGGCAGCAAGAAAAGCAGTTTTGTTAGAAAGAGAAGCTCAAAATCTTTATTAGTTAATGTGTTATTTCAATAAATATGCCAGCTACAGAAGTGGCAGATAAGCCCCTGCTCTCAGGGCACTGGGGAGGTGGGTGAACACTAAATAAGTAAATAAATAGTAAGTAGCTAGAACTTCTGATTGGGATAAGGGCTGCCAGGAAAAGAAAGCAGAGTGCTGTAAAATAAAGTGACAAGAGTATGTACACATAAGGCAAGACTGTTCTGGGGAGTGACATGTTAGTGGAGCCCCGCTATGGGGGAGGGGGTACTGACAGAGGCAGGGGGAAGACTGAACCAGGCAGAGGGCACCGCAAGTGCAAAGGCTTGGAGGTGGGAATGAGTGCAGAGAAACTGAACAAAGGCCATTGTGGCTGGAGCTCATAGGCAGATGTGGAGAGCGGGGTTGGAAAGGGGATGGCAGGGACCAGCCAGACCACGATCTTTTGCGCCATGGAAAGGAGTTTAGGTTTTATTCTCCTTGGACTGGTGAACCCTTGCAGGATTTGGAGTGGAAAGCCACGAGATCTGATTTTTAAACGCTCCCCTGACCTTTACAAGGAGACAAAAAGCAGCTTCCTTTTCATTCTGCCTCTGAGGGTGGCAAGGCGCCGGGAGCCTCCGAAGGGGACCTGTGAGGACTGCTTTGAGCCTGGCTGGCCCTGTAAGCCTACGCCAGGGGTAGGTCAGGTTTTAAAACCCACTTCCCACTTTTAGGTAGTTTTTGTCCCCTCTAAGTGGCCCTCACCCAGAGCCCAACGCCCCATAAGCACTTCCATGCAGGGCTTCCTGGGGGTTCTGAGTTAGTCATATTTTCTTCTCAGAATTACAGCCTCAGAGGAACCATCCACCCTGGAACGGGCAGCCAAGGATGCAATTTGCATTTAAATGATTGCTTTTATTTACAGGGTTGGAGCTGCTTTGCATATTCATGGCTCACGGAGCCTGTGTTCTGGCAACCCTGTTTACTAACCTGTGAGGGTTATTAAATCCAAGGGCCCCCAGATAGGCTGGTGGTCTGGGCGGCCTTGGGAACTGAAGATTATGAGATGGTGTAACTTGCAAAAGACATCAAAGGGTTAGATTGAAGGTCTGGGAAATAGTTTAATGTCAGGAAACCTTGTAACAGTTTAATCCCTCTGGAGCAGGAAATGCACCAGCGGCTATAATGGGAGTGGGCAGGGACAGAGTGTGATGCTGGGGTGTGCTGGGGGACTGGCTCTGCAGCCTTATCCTGGGCTTCTGTCCAACAGAGGGAGTCCAACCAGGGGTGCAGTGGCCTTGAGGTCAGCAGTTGGGAGAAGTGGGTTCTAGTCCCGGCTCGGCCCATCAATTCCAGGAAGCCTCTGGCCAAGTTGCATTACCTCTTTGTATTCCCAACAGGACAATGGGAATCGTAATTGTAATCAGCCAGGACCCAGTGCTCCCTGTCTGCGGTGCTGAGTACTTTCTAAGTACGTTTCACATCAGCCTTGTGAAAGTGGCACTATCATTATCCTTGTTTTACAGAAGAAGAGACTGAAGGTCAGAGAGGTTAAGTGAGTAATGCCCAATGTCACACAGTTCTGTCTGACTTTCCTCCAACTGAGGTCTTCCACTCTTGAGGAGACTGACGGGAGTGTAAATCCTGTGCCAGGTATTCATCGGGTACTGAACTGTTAGACATGCCCAGGGCTAGGAAAGCGCCTCCAGATCTGTTTAGTTTTTCTTTCCCTTCCATGCTCCAGCGCCTCCCCGCTTCTTTAGAGAAGGTGGGTTTAAGATGCCTCTGCTCGTAGCCCCCGAGGCGAAGCAGGTCAGAATGGTGTGTTCCAGAGCAGTTTTGTATATCTTGTGTCTCCTTTCATATGGGTAGATGGCAACGTGGGGATGCTAGTTCCCAGGAGAATGGCTGGTGTCCCGTTTCTGGGTGTCTGGCTCCGACTCCTCAACAGGGACACCCAGTTTCAGGGCACACAGGCTGGCCTCAGGTCCTCCAGCACCGGTTCCCCTCTGTAAAACCACCTTCACAGCAAGGCTCCCATTTAGAGCACCTGCTGTGGGGATTTCCAAGGTAGACCACCCCCAAAGGCTTTTCCCCTTCACACCACCTCAGGGACCTCTTTGCTTGGTGTGTGACTGGGGAGGCTGGAAACCAGTGGTGGACAAACACCTGGGTGTGCCCCTGTTTCAGCCCCATCTCCATGGCAACCACCCCTCCTGGAAAAGCAAAGTCAGAACTAAGTTCATAACCTCAGAGCACTCGCCAATCTTTTATTTAACAGACACTTTTTTTTTTTTTTTTTTTTTTTTTTTGCGGTATGTGGGCCTCTCACTGTTGTGGCCTCTCCCATTGTGGAGCACAGGCTCCGGACGAGCAGGCTCAGCGGCCATGGCTCACGGGCCCAGCCGCTCCACGGCATGTGGGATCTTCCCAGACCGGGGCACGAACCCGCGTCCCCTGCATCGGCAGGCGGACTCTCAACCACAGCGCCACCAGGGAAGCCCTAACAGACACTTTATATAAGTGCTTACCCCATGTTACCTATTGTCCTAAACTCTAATTATTTTTACCTATTGTCCTAAACTCTAATTACTTTAATCCTCACAAGAACCCTGCAAGATGGGTATTATCACCCCCATTTTGCAGATGAAGAAACTGAGACTAGTAAGGTTAAGTCAGCCGCCCATGGTCACAGGGTTCTAGCAAGTGCCAGGGGCAGAACTCGAAACCGGAGGTTTATGCTGCTTTGCCATGATTGAGCCTGGGAGAAGCGGCCCTGCTTGTGGCCTTCAGGCAGGCAGCGCTGTCCTCGCACAAGGAATCTTGCCTGCATTCTTTCCAGCCTCTGCAGGCCCCAGCTTGCGAGGAACATGCTGCTCCACCACCTGCCGGTAGCTTCTGGCCCCTCTGCAGGGAGAGAGAGAGAGTGTGTGCGCGCGCGCACACGCGGGCCTGTGCGCGCGCGGGCCTGCATGTGCGATGCAGTGTTTTTAAGAGCATCTGAATGAGTCACGTTTCTGGGAGCCTGGCTGGCAGCAGAGTAATTAGTATGTGAGCCGAGTCTTGCACATTCATCACTTTATTCATTACTCCTTTTGAGGAGCTGCATGCCTGCATCCCACGGGTCTGTTGCCATGTATTCATCCCTTCCCAATCAGCCCTGCCTTGTGGCTGATTCCAAACCTCTAATCTTGTTTTGTGCAGTTTGGGGTTCCTGGAGAGCTGCTCCATTCTCAGCAGCGGGGAGGCCCCAGGTGGCTGAGGGGGCAGGATGGGGCTTACCTGACAGTGGGTGAGATGGAGCGTGAGTGAGCACTGCCCCCTGGGCCTGGGGCAGGGATAGTGGGGCGGAAGGTGCCGGGCCATCGTCCAGGCTCCCCCACTGCATATGTTCGTGCTTCTCAAACCTCAGTGCACCGAAGCATCTGAGCGCACCTGGAGCTTATCGTAGGGCTGTGGAAACACAGGTGGCCAGGCCCACTGCTGAGCGTCTGCATTTCTAACAAGTTCCCGGGCGATGCTGCCGCTGTTGCCAGCCTGAAGATCATACTTTGACTTAAGCCTCTCAGTCCCCTCCTCTATAAAATGACAATGAGAGCATCTTCCTGCCAGGTGACATGAGGGTTGGAGACCACGTTTAATCAGTTGATTGATTCAGCAACTGGGCCGTGAGCCCTGCCCGTGTGCCAGGCACTGGGGACTCGGTGCAGAACAAGACAGACAAGAGCCTGGGTGCGTGGGATCAGACCAAAAGAGTAATAAAATAAAATATTTGAAAACTGTGGCACATGCTATGAAGATAAGGATCGGGAGTATCGGTGTAGAGCATAAAGAGGCAGAGGGAACCTAATTTAGATAGACTGGCCAGCAAAGGTCTCACCATGTGACATTTCCAGAGCCCTGGTCTGTAGTAAGAGCCCAGTAACAATAGTACAATTGTTTGTCTCCTGGCTCCACCGCTTTCTAGCTATGTGACCTTGGACAAGCCAACTGGCTTCTCTGTTTTATTTCCTGTAAAATGGAGACAGTAATAGAACTTGCCTCGTGGTATCATTGTCCAGATGATAAGGTATTAATATATGTGAAGTGCACAGAAGAGGGCCTGGTGCATAGTGAGCACCTATGCGAGCTAACAGTCATTGTCGTGGTCACTGTGGCAGTAACAGAAAACTCTGCAGGGCAGAACCCCCCAGAAATCCTAGATGAGCTGGACTCAGCGTCATTCTGTGAGGTGGTGTGTAGCCTCCCTCCTGTTCATCCTGGACATTGTTCTGTAGAACGATGGCTGTCACCTCATGGGCGTCTTTAGCAATGAAAATGACCTACTTGGGACAACTGGACCCTATCGAAGCCTCTGGCTGCCTAGATGTTGGGTAGGGAGGGCTTCCTGGAAGAAGAGGACCACATCGTGTGGGACGTATAATAGAACTTCTTTGTCAGCAAGTAACATAAACCCACCTCAAACTGGCTTAATCCAAAAAAGGGAAGTTAATTGGCTGCTGGAACTGCAAAGACCAGGGTATCTGGCTTCAGGCATAACTGAATCCAGCCTTTCTGTGTATTAGGACTCTGGTCCATCACATGGCTGTTTCCTGTGAGTCAGCTTTACTCTGAGACAGGTTCTGTCCCTGTGATGGTAAATAAGTCCTCTCCAGCTCCAGGTGTATATCCTTTTAGCTTATTAACCCTGATAACAAGAGAAAACCTCTTTCCAGTTAATTCTAGCAAAAATCCTAAGACTGATTCTCATGGGTCTGGTTGGGGCCAGGTGCCTGTTCATGAACCAGTCAGTGTGGCCAAAGGGTGGGATAAATGCTCTGATTGGCCAGGCTGGGTCAGGTGCTCGCAGCTGGGGCTCAAGGCGTCTCTCCAAAGGAAATTCAGGAGCTGTCTTCAGAAATGAGAGAAACGGAGGCAGGACAACAAAAACAACAGCTGTCCCAGAAGGAGAGGGTTCCAACCTTGGGAATGAAAGCAGAAAGCAAGAGTGTATCTATTTCCTATCTCAGAAGGGAGTCGGAGCTAGAGACCTGGACCACAGCCGTAAGAACCTGTACAATTTCAGAAGCTTGGTCACCATCTTGATATTTTCTTCATCCACACTGGTTTCCTGTTGTGGCTGGAAGGACAATCAGGAGGGGGGATGAGCTGGTGGAACCCAGTCCCAATTCGTAGGCAGGCCTGGAGAGAGGAGATTCCCCCAAGAGAATGAGGGGAGGCAGCTAAAGAAGGCCAAGTTCTTGCAAGGAAAGGACCTGAGGCCTGAGGCTGAGAGGCCTGGCTGGTTTCCTGGCTTCACCCTCATCAACTCTGTTCTCCGGTGTATAAACCAGGCTTTCTCAACCTCAGCACTGTTGACATGTGGGGCCAGATCATTCTTTGTGTTGAGAGCCATCTCAGGCATTGTAGGATGCTTAGCAACTTCCCTTGTCTCTACCCACTAGATGCCAGTTGCACCCCACACTCCCCAGTTGTGACAACCAAAAATGTCCCTAGGCACGCCTTAATGTCCCTTGGGATCAAAATTGCCCCTGGTTGAGAACCACTGGCCTGCAGGTGGGTGGGAGAGTTGGGGAGAGGGTTGGTGGTCAAGACTCCAGAAGCACATTCCTACCGTCCTCTCCCAGCCACCCTGGAGATGAGACTGGCTGATGTGTGACCTAGAGAGGCCGCATGGGGTGTGTCTTGTTGTCACTTGCTGAGAAGTCTCCTAATCACATTTGCCATTGATGAGAGGTCTAGGGGAAGTCCACTGCACTGTGTCGGGGGCCTGATGGCATTTTGTTCCAGCACATCCGGTTCTTCAATTTTGATTCCCAGTGTGCTCTTGTGAGATGCAGCTCTAGCTAGGACAGTATTTTTTTAAAGGTGGTACATTGGGATATGCCAATGGGTATGCAACGTGAGTTCCATCAACAAGTATTTCAATGTGTTGAGTTTTCTTTTGAGTCAATTTCAAGGACTTGGTGAGTCAGTTAAGTAAATAACTTACAGGGGGTTTGTAGACAAGGTGTAAATAGCTGAGGTGGCACTCTAGTGACTTAAGTAGCAGGGCCCCAAATAGTGGCAGGACCATGGGCCTGATTGCCAGTGTCTGGGGTGCTTGTTTCAGGAGCATCTCTTGCCAGACGCTTTCCGTTCCCAGTCTGCCTTCTTTCATCTATAGGCAAAGAAGATGGTCCATATAGTACCAGGCTCCTTCTCATTCTGCAGCATCAATAATTTATCCCAGTTGATGGCCTTGCGGCCAAGGCAGGATCAGAGCTGCTCACCGTATCCCGTCAAGGAGCAGAGAGAGAGGTGGTCGATACCGCATTTACTTAAGAAAGCCCCAGGGATGTGCTTAGCTGCCCTGGAGGTGGCTGGTTACAGCCTCACTGTGGGTGGAGCTAAGGCCGTAAGTCTGGCTTAAGACGCCTGGAAACATCACTGCGGAGCTGTGCAGGCATGGCTTTCCCAAGGCCAGGCTCCCTCCAAAAGCAAGGAGCGGTGGCGGTGGAGAGTCGTGAGAAGTCTCGTTCACTCAGTATTTAGGAAGCATCTAGTGTGCTTTTATGCTAGTACTTGACCAGTGGTGCTCATCCTGGTGATTTCCCCCCCAGGGGACACTGGCAGTATCTACAAACTTGGGAGGTTGTCACAATTGGGGGAGGGGGTGAGCTTCAGTCACCTAGTGGGTAGAGGCCAGTGATGCTGCTATACATCCTGCAATGCACAGGACAACCCCCCAAACGAGGAAGAATGAGGCCCGAGGCTGAGAAACCCTGGTTTATGCTGATGGCGAGACAGACAGTGTCCCTGTCATCCTGTAGCTAGTGGTGAAGAAAGACAGGAAGGGAGGAGTGGAGGAAGGGACACAGGAGGAACAAAGGAAACAGGCGATCGACGACGGACGCCATTAGAGCTAAGAAAGAGACGAGAGATGCTGGGGGTGGGGGTGGGGGTGTGACCTTGGCCAAGGTCTGGGTGGATGACATTAGAGCTGAGACCAGTGTGGGAGGGGCAGTTTTCCACAGAAGCAGGGTGTGGAGGGTAGTCTAGGCAGAGGCAGGAGAAGACGAGACGGGGGTTAATAAGCCCGTCTCCTGGCGGCTGTGTGGACTCCATGAGGCATGCAGGCATCCCGGCAGAGGTGGGCTGTCCTGCAGGCATCCCGGCAGAGGTGGGCTGTCCTGCAGGCATCCCGGCAGAGGTGGGCTGTCCTGCAGGCATCCCGGCAGAGGTGGGCTGTCCTGCAGGCATCCCCGGCAGAGGTGGGCTGGCTGGAGTGAGAGGATGGATTCTCAGCAGATATCTGTGGGAGGGGTGGGGTGTGCGAGGGGAGAGGGGGGAAAGGGTGGAACCCAGGAAGACCATTCACACTACATTTGAAACGCTGGGAAGCTTCTAAGAGGGGATGCGTCTAGGAGCTGAGTGGCGTGACCTTGGGCAGGTGTCCCAACCTCCTCAAGACTGTTGTGTCACAGTCACCGGTGTGAGGACTGGATGTGTCGAGTGCCTGGCCGAGGGTGAGTCATCGGTAAATGTCAGCTGTTAGCGCTGAGAGACTGAAACGGGTAGTGCGTGCCCCTCTCCCAGCAAGCGCTCGGCCCATGACCATCTCTTCAAGCCTCATTTTATTCCCTTATTTTTGAAGAGCTCAGACATGGCCTCAAATTCAAAGAATATGAAAGAGTATCCAGAGAAAGTGAGTCCCCCTCCCATCCCCTCCACCAGCCACTAGCACTGATGGTTCAGGGCTGTTCACTGAGCCCGGACTAGGGGGCAGATGGGGGCCGAAATCCCCGCCCCTCCTCCAGGCTGTGCTGCCCGGAGGAGGGGGCTGGTGGGTTTGAAGTGAGGTGGGTCTTCTTAAAGAAGTCAGGAGAGTGGGAGTCTTACAACGAATTGGTCTTTTCCCCCCAACTTTTCTGGAACGTTCATGGTGTCAGAGAGAAAGATGAGGACCCACCAGGCGCTCGCTTTCCTCCTGCTCTTCGTGATTGCCTCCGGGGCCTCCGAGAACACCAGCACGTCCCGGGGCTGCGGGCTGGACCTCCTCCCTCAGTACGTGTCCCTGTGCGACCTGGACACCATCTGGGGCATCGTGGTGGAGGCCGTGGCGGGGGCGGGCGCCCTGATCACACTGCTTCTGATTCTCATCCTCCTGGTGCGCCTGCCGTTCATCAAGGACAAGGAGAAAAAGGACCCCGTGGGCCTCCACTTCCTCTTCCTCCTGGGGACCCTGGGCCTCTTCGGCCTGACGTTCGCCTTCATCATCCGGGAGGATGAGACCATCTGCTCCGTCCGCCGCTTCCTCTGGGGCGTCCTCTTCGCGCTCTGCTTCTCCTGCCTGCTGAGCCAGGCGTGGCGCGTGCGGAGGCTGGTGCGCCACGGCAAGAGCCCGTCGGGCTGGCAGCTGGTGGGCGTGGCCCTGTGCCTGATGCTCGTGCAGGTCATCATCGCCGTCGAGTGGCTGGTGCTGACCGTGCTGCGCGACGAGAAGCCGGCCTGTGCCTACGAGCCGATGGACTTCGCGATGGCCCTCATCTACGACATGGTGCTGCTCCTGGCCACCCTGGGGCTGGCCCTCTTCACGCTGTGCGGCAAGTTCAAGAAGTGGAAGCAGAACGGGGTCTGCATCCTGGTCACGGCCTTCCTCTCCGTGCTCGTCTGGGTGGCCTGGATGACCATGTACCTCTTCGGCAATGCGGAGCTGCGGCAGGGAGACGCCTGGGGAGACCCCACCTTGGCCATCACGCTGGTGGCCAGCGGCTGGGTCTTCGTCATCTTCCACGCCATCCCAGAGATCCACTGCACCATCCTGCCCGCCCCGCAGGAGAACACACCCAACTACTTTGACACGTCGCAGCCGAGGATGCGGGAGACGGCGTTTGAGGAGGACGTGCCGCTGCCGCGGACCTACATGGAGAACAAGGCCTTCTCGATGGATGAACACAGTGCAGGTAAAGTGGGCACCGCCCCGCTGGGTTAGGCTGTTCTTCGCAAAAGTGCTCTCTCCTTTTTCTCCACTGGGGATCGGTGGTCCTGGGGACGGTCCTGGCAGATCAGAGCCTACAGACGTTGACCGCTGTGCTGAAACTGGCCCAGAGATGCATTCTTATTTAGCGCTGCCAACCAATTTAATATAAAAAGCCAGGTTTCTGGCCTTTTTCACAAATTTGGATCTGGCAGTGCTGGGCTGCCATTCCCACCTGGCAGCAGTCGTGTGAAGCTGGCTGGAAAGGCTCTGTCTCTTACCCCTCACCGAGTTGTGGTGGCCCTTTAGGTGGGGATCCACTTTCTCTTCACCACACTCCCTGTCCCGGCCGCTATAACATATCAACATTAAGTCCCTGGCTCCCTGGAAGTGTTTACGATTGCAGCCCATGTGCTGGATGGGTGCAGGGGATGATGAGGGGCAATGCTCCAGTCCCCTCCCCTACCTCTGTCTCCAGGAGTGTATGAATTTGGGCCCTGGAGTCAGACGTCTGGGTTGGGATCCTGCCTCTGCCACTTCCTAGATGTAAGGCTTTGTGTACCCCATAGACCTGTTGAGAGAGGTAACATGCTGAGGGGCTCCCACGGCACCTGGCTTGTTGGATGTGCATCTTGGTTGGGTTCCCCGAAAAGCAGAGCCTGCGATGTAAGTGGTTTACTTAGGAGGTGGCCCCTGCCAGGGAGAATGAGACTGGGACGGCAGAAACGCCAGGACAAGAGCATCGAAGAGCTGGTTGCCGCCACGGGCAGCTGGGGCTCATCCCTGCCAGGGACGCGTGTAGAATGAGCCTCAGGATCGATCCTCGGAGGACAGGAGGCTGCGGCATCTGTCCACCAGCTCCTACCTCCCACTGTCACGAGTGTCTCCCAGGCCTCCCGTAAATGGGCTGAACAAGTCCCATTAGCCTGCACGGCAGAAAAGAGATGTGGGGGCGCTTCGAGTCGGGGTGGTCTGAGCACCCAGGCTGTCTGCCACCGCTGCAGTGGGATTCCCAAGAGGGAAGAGCTGAGAGGAGGTGGCCCAGGCCCCAGGCGCCCCTGCTGTAGATGCTGGAGAAGTGTCTCTTACAATTGTTGCTTAAAGCAAGTCGGCTGAGCTCCCAGCACTTGAGATCAATTAAAATGGCTTTTTTTCAGTTACCTAAAAATTTATCAGGAGCTACAGTAATAATAGCGGCAGTAGCAGCAGCAGTAGTAATAATTAATTACCTAGTATAACCACTTATTGAACACCGCCTACATGCCAGGCACTATTCGAACTTCTTAACCTGCATTATCTCATTAGTTCACCCCTCCACCTGATGAGGTAGGGTCTGTTATCATCCCCATCTTACAGATGAATAAATGGAGGCCGTAAGAGGTTCAGTCTTGCCTGATGACATACAGCTAGGAGGTGGCCCGTTCCAGATGGTCGTGGTCCCCTTTTCTGTGATGCTCACCCAGGTGCCTGGGCAGTGCCCACTGTCTGGTCATACTACGAAGTCAGCCTTGCTGGGTTGAGTGCCGAGGCCCAGAGCACAGCCACCCACCCCTGCAGGCAGGGGGGAAGCACATCAAGCCACCAGGTCCTCCAAGGCCACCCTCAGCCCTCCTCCCCACCAGGATGTGGCCAGCTGCTTCTGAACCCCTGCTCCTGGCCAGACCCACAGGACAGAATGACAGACCTTCCCTCCCCCACCCCCCTGCCTGCAACCCCACCATGGGTAGAGTCAAACGTCCTGGTGTGGCCTTTATCAGAGCTGCTCCCTTCTTACTGGAAAGCCCCAAGCCTGCAAGCCTCTGTTTGTCAATAGATTGGGCAGGGATGAGCCGCAGCTCTGGTGGGGCTGGCTCCGTGGATTGCCAGGAGAAGATGAGGGTCAGGATGGGGGTCATCACTCACTGGGAGGCCAGAGGGCCCCTCAGGGCATGTGATGAGCAGAGGCCAGGCACCTGGCCAGTTCCTGGGGTCCTGGTGGAGCCACCTCTTCCTTGGCTTCTCCTGGAATAGGATCCTCTGTATCTGAGACCCATGGACTCCCCTTGGACCTCAAAGGTAACAGGAGCTCCTGAAATGCGTGTAAAATTTTATACATTCAGTTGGGAATTAGTCTGTTGCTTTATCAGATTCTCAAAGCCATTCGTAATCCCCAGAAAGTTAAGAACCAGTGTTGTTGAACCTGATAATCTAGTTTACTTGCAGTGAAACGGGGGTGCTAGAACTACACAAGTAGTAGGGGCTTCAAAAGTAAGGATGGCTAACCTCTACTGGGTGCTTACCATGGACCAGGTACCATTCTGAGCATTTTAGCGGCTAATCTCATTTAATCCCTACAATAACCCAGTGAGGTCCGTTTTGCAGACAGGAAACTAAGGCACGGAGAGGCTGAACAACTTGCCCAAGAGGCAGAGCCAGGGTCTGAACCCAGGCGGCCTGACTCCAGAGCCCACACACTGAGCACTCTGCCACAGAATTTCTCTTCTCTTCTTAAAGCACTTTAATGTCCCTCATCTCACAGATGTGTCAGGACACTCTGAGAAGACAGGGATTATAAGTCCCATTTTACAGAGCAGAGTCCAGGAGTGTCAGGCAACTTGTTCAGGCTCACAGCAGAGCAGGGAGAGAGAAGGTTGGTTTTCTGAATCCCGTGCATCCTTTCTTGTGAAAATGCATCCAGTACGTCATATCCACATAAGGTCCAGAGATCTAAGGGATTTGGGACCCACGTCTGTACCAGGAGTACCAGTGCTGGCACAGGGCGTGATGGGGTCTCCAGAGGTGCCCCACAGGCCCATCTGTTTCAAATGCTATGTTCCAAAGCCAAGGAGGTTGTCCCTCATTCCCTTCTTTCTTTTCCAAAACAAAAATAGCTTTATTATTCCTTTCTGATGACAAAAGATCAACAATAATCAGGTAGGAGTTCAGCAAGTGAAAATAGTAAAAACTGCTCAGAATCCCATTGCCCAAAGGCAACTACTGCTGACTGTTTGCTCTCATCTTGCCAGACATCTTTTGATGAGTGCGCGCGCGCGCGCACGCGCACACACACACACACACACACACACACACACACACACACACACACACACACACACACACACACACACACACACACACCAATCCCGTAGAGCAGTTCTTAACCTGTCTGCACGTTAGAATCTCTTCGGCAGCTTTAAACAAATTACCAGTGCCTGCCCCTCATTCTGATTGAGTAAGTCGGTTTGGGCTTAGGTATTTTAAGCCCTCCAAGTGCTTCTAAGAGGTAACCAGGTTGAAACCACTGGTCTAAGTGGTCTTCTGCTATGTGCTTGCTTAAATCAACAGTATATCATGGAGGGAGGCCTTTCCAGGTCAGCGACAGCAGAGCGACAGTATCCTTTTCATGAGGCAGAGATTTCTAGGAGGTACCATAATTTATTTTTCTGATCTTAGCTGGTGAATATTCTGCTTGCTTCTGGCTTTCCGTATAAGTAATGCTGTGATGAACGTTCTTATCCATTCATGTTTGTGCCCTTGATCAATTAACTCCTACACATACGTCAAAAGAGTCTGCACCTTTCAATCTTGATATCTACTGCCAGATGCCACCCCACAGAAAGGTGGACTAATTTAGTCTCCCCTGAATAATTATATGAGAGCCCCATTTCCCCACCTCTTCACCAACCTTGGATGTTGTCAGACTTTTTTTAACAGCCCAATTTTGCATCCTCCCAAATGTGTGTCTGCCAAAATTCACATGGGCACGAGGCAAAGCCAATTCCCTTGGAAGGCTCACAGGGAGAGACTAAATTGTCATCCTGGCTAGGAGTATCTTTATTCTAGAAACACTACTTTGCTGGCTGGGGAATGCCTGGGCACCCTCCCTTGCCATGGTGAGAACAGCTGTTCTCATCTTTGGTCTGACCTCAGCCAGCTTGTATTTTAGGGAACCAGGCCCCACAAGGGGCCTTACGCGGCAGCTACAATTGGCCCTGTTTCTCCTGTATTTTATCTAGCCAGCCTTTCAGGCTCTGTACCCTTGAGAGTTCATCCCTGAAGTCGAGATGGGAAGGGCATTCCCCAGGCTGGACTGTGGCCCAGCCACTGCTCCCTTATTTCCTTCCCCCAGTGAGACCTCAGATATGTAGGACTTTGTCAGCCTGCCGTTTCTTAATGAGTATCAACAAGGCATGAGGGGGGCTTCCCTGGTGGCGCAGTGGTTAAGAATCTGCCTGCCAACGGGTTCGAGCCCTGGTCCGGGAAGATCCCCCATGCCGCGGAGCAACTAAGCCCGTGCGCCACAACTACTGAGCCTGCACTCTAGAGCCCGCGCGCCACAACTACTGAAGCCCACGCACAAGAGAAGCCACTGCAATGAGAAACCCGTGCACCGCAGCTAGAGAAAGGCCGCGTGCAGCAACAAAGACCCAACTCAGCCAAAAAAAAAAAAATTAATTAATTAGAAAACAAGGCATGAGGTATGTGATAGAAGATGAAAATACACTGAAGGATATAGCACTTCAGATCACATTTTGGAAAGCGTTAACAAGGTACATTAAATGTTCACCTTTCAAAGGAGCAAGAAAGAAAAGGGTTCTTTTTCTGTTAGGGGATTTGGGCTCTCTGATCTCATTAGGCCAAGGGCTATTTAAACTCTGCCCCTTTGCTTCCCAGTGGAAGGCCCTGTGTCAGTCAGCTTTGGGGGCAGGGTGAATCTCGCCTCACTTGCAGAGTCTAAACAGGAGACGACTGGCATTTAGCCTATGATCTTAAATTCTTGCTGGGACCTCCTTATGGATGAGCCCTACTTGCCTTTCAGAGCTGACCCAGGTCAGAGTGGAGCGTTAGTTGGGATTCTTGAAGTTGCAAGTAATAAAAAATCTGCTCTGAAGCAAGTTAAGCAAAACAACACAAAACAACAATGAACTAAGGTACTGGGGGTCAGGCTTCAGAAATGGATAGATCCAGGAAGCTCAAGTGATGACAAGAGTTGGTCTCTCTCCATCTCTTGGCTCTGTTAGAATCCTGGCAGCGCACAGCTCTAGGCTTACACAGAGTCCCAGCAGAAAAGAGGAACATTTCCCAGGATGCTTGAGGAAAAATCTCAGAATTAGCTCTGACTGGACCTGATTGGCTAGGCCCCAATTATATGCCCACCTCAAGGCCAGGGAAGGAGACAGTTGTAACCAGTACTCAGGACCTAGAATGTGGGAGGGATGTTTATCAGAGAACAGCAGACAACCACTACACAGAGGGATCCTTGGGCCAAGGCATCCCACAGATGGCCTGTAGAGTCTAGCCTTTGTTTTTTGAAGAGAATGGTTTAGAGCCAGATCCCCCCCCACCATAGCCGGCAGGGTCTCTGCATTATGAGGAAAGCTGTGCTGTTTGGTTTTCCCTCTCTTTCAAGGAGGTCTTGGCTAGGAACTGGGACTAGTGAGAGTCCACGGACTCTGTCCCCTGGTCCGCTTCTCTGCTTCCCAGGAAGGTCATCTTCTTGTCAGCCTGTGCGTGGGAGCTGTTGAAGGCTTGGAGATGCTAAAGCAAAGAGTGTTTTGGAACATGCATTCCCCACCCTGCCTTGGTTCAGTCTGGGCTGAGCCGCCCCTAATGCAGGGGTCCCCAACCCCCAGGCCACAGCCTGGTAGTGGTCCTTAGTGGTCTGTGGCCTATTAGGAACAGCGGCAGGCGAGTGAGCGAAGCTTCATCTGCCGCTCCCCATCTCTCGCCATCTCCCCATCGCTCCCCATCCCTCCCCATCGCTCCCCATCGCTCCCCATCCCTCCCATCGCTCCCCATCCCTCCCCATCGCTCCCCATCCTTCCCCATCCCTCCCCCCGTCTCTCCCCATCCCTCCCCCGTCTCTCCCCATCCCTCCCCCGTCTCACGCTCCCCAACGCTCGAATTACCATTTGAACCATCCCCCCACCTCCAGCCCCGCTCCGGCCCCCACCCTGCCCCCAGTCCTTGGAAAAATTGTCTTCCATGAAACCGGTCCCTAGTGCCAAAAGGTTGGGGACCGCTGCCTTAATGTCACTTAAATTCACATGGCTTCTAAGTAACTAAATGTGGTAGTTGAAAACAAAGTATTTGGAGCCAGAATAGTGTGATGGTCAAGAACACAGATTCTCTCTGCTTGGGTTCAAATGCTGGTTCTTACCAGCTGTGTGACCTTAGGCAAGTTACCTAATCCCTCTGTGCCCCATGTAAAATGGCATCTCACAATTGAGAAAGACTTTTGTTTTGATTTTTTTATAGTGCTTCTTGTTTCTGTTATTTCTTAATGGACTATTTTTTAGAGCAGTTTTAGGTACAGAAAATTTGAACAGGAAGTACAGGGAATTCCTGCCTGCCCCCTCCCCTGGTTTTCCCTATTATTAACAACTTTCATTAGTGTTACATTTGTGGCAGTGGATGAATCAATATTGATACATTATTATTAACTAAAGTCCATAATTAACATTTTAGAGGTCACTCTTTGTACAGTTCTATGGGTTTGGACAAATGCATGATGTCATGTCTCCACCATTATAGTATCACCCAGAATAGTTCCAATGCCCTAAAAATTCCCTGTGCTCCCCCCAAACCTTTGGCAATCACTAATCTTTTCACTGTCTCTATAGTTTAGCCTTTTCCAGAATATTATAGTTGGAATCATACAGTGTGAGTTTTTACAGCCTGGCTGCTTTCACTTAGTAATATACATTTCACGGTTCCACCAGGTCTTTTTGTATCATCTGATTTTTCTTCACCAAAGAAAGGAAATTTAGATGTCTAAAAGTACACTGCAAATAAGAAACACCATTTACTCTCCTTTCAGATGTAGAAAGTGATGACATATTTTGCTATCTTTGTGCTATCTTCACATCTCCCTTTTTTTCCTGTCTACAAATGACCCACTCATGTGTCTGGGGCCCCTCTGTCCTCTTCCCCGTCACTTTTCCCTGAAGACGTCTGACCTCTGCCATGTACTTGTGGTCCAGGTTCTCAGCGTTGCCCACCTCTGTGTGTATCCAGAAACCGTGTTGGACAGTGTGGTGTTGAACTTGTCAGGGATGGCACTCAGTAGTGAGGAGGTCTCTTTTGTCAGAAGAGAACTTCTGAGGGATGCAGGCGCTCCCACATCACCCATGGCCCACGGGGGCAGGGGAGGGCCGGGCGAGGCTCCACCCGGGGTCCCCTCCCTGAGAGCCGCCTGAGCCCTGGATTCTGCAAACTCCCCAACCCCACTGAGACGGGTCAGGCTCCAAGAGAGCCAGAGAACAAAGCGCCTTTGTGACTTTTGTTTTGAATCTGGCTTGTGACAAAGGGGAGGGGTGGGGGGGGTGTGCCTGGAGCGTGGTGTTGATGCAGAGGAAGAAAACAAAATTCAAAATTGTGTCTTCTTTTTTCTTTCTTTTTTTTTTTTTTTTTTTTTGTTTGCCTTTCCCTCCCTCCCTCAGCTCTCCGAACAGGATTTCGCAATGGCAGCTTGGGAAATAGACCTAGCGCTCCGTTCAGAAGTAACGTGTATCAGCCAACTGAGATGGCCGTTGTGCTCAACGGGGGGACTGTAAGTATCAGGAGGTGATGTTTGGCAGAAGCCTAGGAGTGGTCAGTGTTGGGGGGCAGCTTTGATGGGGACACACCACTCTGCGGAGGCTGCTTACAGGGCTGCAAAGACAGCGGCTCACGTTGACACCCCTTGCGGCTAGGATGCATGCAGTGCTTCCATTTTTCTCCTTTCCTCTCGACCCCCTTTCTCCATGCACGGAACATCCACCTGTACTTAGCTGACCGTTTGTAGATTCGTTTGAAAGAGTCCCTGTTTCTTGGGGCTCTTGCACCCAGTGAATTAATTCTCTGGTTTTCATTATGCAGAAGGTGCCCCCGTCCATGCTGTCCTTCAGAAGTGACTTTTAGGAAAAGCCCAGAGTTACGAAACCCTGGCAGATTTTGCTAGCATCCAACCTAGTTGAGCCCTCTGTCCCCTGCTCCCCGCCTGCACACCGTGCCCCAGCTGGGTACTGGGTTCCAACTTCTTAAAACATTTCTGAAGAAACTGAGGTGATTATCATTTCTCTCCCACGAACACAAAAACAGGTTTACTATCTGATGCCAAACAGACCTTCAGCAGAATTGTCACCATTTACATTTTGCCTCCGTGGACTTACATCATTTTCTTTCTCTGGCAATCTAAAAGCTCACTCTCATTCCCACATTTAATTTCCAAACATAGCTACATGCTTCTTTCAGAAACAACACATGAGCCAGTTTACACGTGTAAATTGGATTTCCATTCTTTATATCATGTGCCAATTCCATAACTCCACCTGAACTTTTTTGTTTTTAATGTGAGTCAGGGATGGTCTTTGATCTCTAGAGGGAACTTTGGTTTTCCTGGCCTTCAGATGGTATGTGATGCATCAGTTTGCATTGGCGTGGAATGGGCTCAAAGCAAGCAGGCTCACGGATTGCATTTGTGAAGACCCCCAGCCATCCATTGGCCTGTTTATTGTTGGGCACCAAGAAAAGCCTAAGTTTCAAGCATTTGGCCTGTGTGTTTTAATACATTTAGTTAGAAAACAGCCCCATCAGTCATTCTTATCATTCTGATAAACCTTCTGATCAGTCATTCTTCAGCCCCGCCCTGGTCCGGTCAAGCCCAGTGTGCATAAAAACACCCTGGATTTAGAAAGTGAGGTGGGGTTCTGGGTAAAGAAACATATTTGTTCAGGTTCATGATTACAGAAAAGGGCAGATGGCCTTCCCCCAAATGGAGCATCGTACATAACACATAGTGGTTGCTGCTTTTCCTGGGAATTATTCAGCCCAGAAAAGACAAGGTAACTTATCTATGGTACGTTGTTAACTAACTGGTTTCTGACGTTGACGTTGCAAAGCACGGAGTTCTTAGTGTGTTATTCCTGTTTCCAGATCCCAACTGCTCCGCCAAGTTACGCTGGAAGACACCTCTGGTGAAAGACTTTAAGTTCCAGAGAATAAGAATCTCTCTTACCGATTTTATTCCCTGGCTGTGTCTTTCTTGAGGGAGAAATCAGTAACAGTAGCTGAACAAGGCCGCCTCGCAGCCAGGAGATTTGGAAATCCTAGACAAAGGGATTTTGTGTAAATGTGAACACTGCTGAACTGAAAAGCTAACACCGACTGCCCTCCCCTCCCCTGCCACACACACACACACACACACACACACACACACACACACACACACACACTCCCCTAATACCAAACCAACCTCAAACCCTGCAAACTAAAGCCCCCGCCACAACACACACACACACACACACACACACACACACACACTCCCCTAATACCAAACCAACCTCAAACCCTGCAAACTAAAGCAAAGCTAATTGCAAATAGGATTAGGCTCACTCGAACATGTGGCTGAGAAGACTGTTTCATCCTCTGGGTGTAGAACAGAACCAAGTTCACAGCCAGTGGGCCAGGCTGATGTTGGTTGAACATGGAGATCCCACACCATCGCCCCTCCCCAGCAAGTGCTGGACCTCAGGCAGCCTCTTGGAGATGACCATTTCACTGAGGAGGATGAATTGTGGCTTTCCCACAGGCCTGCCTCTTAGTTTTCACATTTCAGGGGGGTCAGGAGCAGTTAAGGACATTGTGAGTGTGATTCCGAGGCGAGGCCCAACCGAATCATGGGGAGAGCTTTAAAAGCAGTGGTGGAGGGAGCCTGCCATGTGCCAAAGAAGAAAAGGCTGTCTGGGAGTTGAAGGGACCATCACACTTAGAAAGTGGCAGCCAGCCACTGTTCCTTCTCTGGGCCTCTTGCTCTGCCGTTGATGGCAGGAAGCAAGCATGCCTCCTTCTGCGGGGCAGTTTCTGGTGGGGGCAGCTGTGTCTCCCCTGATCACCTCTCCCTCTTCCCTCCTCATCAGTGTTCCTCCAGCCCTTCCCCAGTTCTATCCCCATGTCCATTTCAAAAGCTCAAATGGGGCCACCAGCTCAGAGTGCACTAGCTTGGCCGGGAGGCCAATGCTACAGCAGATTTTCCACGATGCTGTCACCTGGCAGGGGTGCCCCAGGGTGGAGAGGTAACGCCTGCTGCCTAGCAAGCAGTGAGTTCTTGGGTCTTCTACGCGGGTGTAGTGAAAGGTCCAGGGTGGGCTGAAGCACGTGAGGGTTTCTTGCTGCTTTGGGAGGGTATGGGGGGCATTTTTGTCTTGGTTTTCTGCAAGTTCCATGAAAATGGCTCTCTTCAAAGCCCATTGTTTCTGTCATGATTTCCATCTGTCCTCAGCAAGTCATTCCTTTATTTGGCATTTCGAACATCTCGGCCATTAAAAGCCCCATGTTCTCTGCACTGTTTGGCCAGTATAATCGCTAGCAATGATTCAAAGCAAAGAGTTTTAACCTGACGGCATGGAATGTATAAATGAGGGCGGGTCCTTTTGCATATACTCTAATCACTGTATTGCTTTTTTCTATAAAACCAACCCATAAGCCTTTAACCTTTAAAGAAAATGAAAAAGGTTAGTGTTGTTTGGGGGGAAACTGACCTCTTCATAAGCCGTTATGTCTGAGCTGAGTATGTTTTAATAAACCTTCTGATTTTTCTCGAGGCCCTAGTCTGCTGTGTCCCATCCTCTCCCTCCCCTGCCCGCATCCTTGTAGAGCACCGGGGTAGCAAGGCCAATCCGGCCACCCCTTTGTAGCCCTCCTTCAGATTAGCGCATTTCCGTGGGTTGCCAGCATGGGGAAGAGGAAGCATGGCGCCAGAATGCCGCCCCTACCTGACCTTCGGGAAGCGCCCGCCCGCCCCACCCCCGGAGCACGTGCTTGCTTCTAGGGAGAGAATCCCATCCCAGCCCTCTGTGCCAGGAGGGTCACTGGGTGGACTGGAACTTGGAGTATGGGGGCGGGGGGTGGACGGAGAGAAGCTAGGACCCGGGGTGGAGGCAGATGCATGCAGACCCAGAATTCTGAAAATCACAGAAATCTCTGAACACCTCGGGCCCATCTGGTGAAAAACGGCCGCGTTACATGTTCTCGTGCCGGGAAATGGTCGCTCACCCACACTCCCTGGAGTCCTTCAGAGCTCTCTGATCCCATCAGTGACTCAGGCTGCAAGAGCTCCCCTTGCAGAGGGGAGAGCAAACACGGTCATGTCCTCTCTAAGTTCTTGGCGGTCCAGGCGTGTCAGGTGGCGCAGCATAGACGGCTACAAGCGGAAAGGAACGTTTCACCACGGTAGAAATGGAACCGGCTTTGAGCCACAGGAAACCTCACTTAATGAGACCTTTTTCTTTCCTTTTCTTTTTAAATCTCTGATAGTTTTTGCACTTCTGGGTTTTATTTTATTTTGGCTTTGAGGTCAAGAGTGGGCTGAATGCTCTCCCAGTGAGGGTGGAGACAGAGTGAGGGGAGCGGGCAGAGAACTGTTCTTACAATGGCTTCACCTGACGGGTGCGAAGAGACATCTTTGCCAAGAGACTGTGGCAGCCAGCTGCCCCCATGGAGTGAAGTTTAAATACAAAATTAAATGGCACCTCTGTTTAAGGTCTGTTTATGTAAACAAGACATTGGGGGAAGATGACCTGGAAGGAGAGCCTGTGTGATCAAAACACCTAATTGTAAGCACAAATCTTTCCAGGTCTAGTTATCAAACTCACCTTGGGACTATAAGAGCCACTCT